ATATATTGTTATACGAAAGCTCTGTGTCTGTGGTCGCTGTGAGTATCCATGACGTCACAATAGTATTGAAATCTGCAGCAATTTGCCGAAGGGTTGCACTTCTGTCGCATGTAATGATTCTCCTCCTTCGTCGTGTGTCCTGTTCTTGCACGATCTTTTTGTATTCGCAGCAATGCCGGAGGTTTGATGTTTTACCGGAGTCCCGATATTTACGGTACACTCGTGAGATGGTCGTAGGAGAAAATTCAAATTTCATCGCGACCTCGGCGATGCTATGCCCCATCTCTCTTGCGCCGACTATAACACCACATTCAAACTCACTCAAATTGTGTTAATCTGCCATTGAAGCAGCAGTAACCGATCTAATAACTGTGCCAGCTGGTTGTCTTACATAGGCGTTGCCGACCTGAATGCCGTATTCTGATTGGTTCCAAATCTCTTTATTTCAATACGCATGGCTGCAACATTTTTTTTAGCTCTGCAGTGTATAATTTTCCAATTTTTAGACTGCTTGCAAAGCATATGGAGAACATAGAACATTCGACACGGATGTTCTACAAAGAAATAATTTAATACAGGGTTAAAGAAAAATTAAAAACTTATCACCAGCTAATCGTTATTGTACCTAGAAACACAAGAGATACCCAAATGTTTAGTGAAAATGCACTCGTGTGCATGACAAGGTTAGATTTGATTTATTTTCGTCAAAAACAGCAGTAAAAAAATGAGTGTGAGATATGAGGAAGAAATTCAATATGCACATGATTTATTGCAGACAGCTTGCCCCTACATCTGTAAATTTGTGTTTATTGTGCATTTAGGTAATTCACAATATGTAATTCACAATATCATATAATTAGATTAAACATTAGTTTTGAAATAATTTTAATAAATAACTCTTACAAACATTTTTGGACTATACTGTTAGAAATCAGACAAAGTGTTAGTAGAAATGGAATGCCATAAACAATGTTTATTTGGTTTGAGATTTGAAAAAGACTACCTATATGGTTCCGGTTTTTCAGTGATAGCACCATCACCTAACGTTAGAATTATTAATAGCTCTTGCCGTAGCTGTGCCAGATGCAGTTTACAGATAGCAAGTGGAAGGGCGGCTGGTTCTCACGGATGCTCTCGTTTCGCTCTGCTCCCAGGCCGCTCACGCTCCTTTCCACTTGCGGGTGCTCCTCTACTCTCGCCGCCTCCAGTGCAGCAAAGCCCGGTGCATAAATCAGTCTTCAGAGCACAGCCAAGTGGAGCTAATCAGAATTAGGGCAAAATGAGAAAGAAAATATTATTATTAAGATTGCCTTTTATGTTTCGGGATTTGGCAACCCTGGTGTTGCAATCTGGCAACTGACAGCTCTATCGTAAAGTTGGATGTTTTGAGGTTATATGTACTCAAAACGTATTGACATAAGAGCGCTATTTGTGTTGTTTACAGTAACTTAAAAGATTCATCTTGGCCCAAAAATGGAATTAAATCGTGAACATTATCGTGCGATTATTGCTTACAACTTTCGACGTGGATTAACTCAGCAACAGTGCATGATTGAACTTAATTCAATTTTTGGCGACGAAGATCAATCAAGGACCACTGTTTATCGATGGTACGGTGAATTCAATCGTGGTCGTAGTTCACCCCAAGACGAATTTCGTGAAGGTCGTCCAAAATCAGTTGTTGTTCTGAAAACCATTAATGCTGTGCATGAACTGATATTGCAAGATTGTTATGTGACATATCGTGAGATTGAGACAACCTTAGGCATTAGTGGGACCAGCATACATTCAATATTGCAAGAACATTTGACTGTTAAAAAAAATTGTTCGCGTTGGATCCCACATAATTTGTCAATCGCTCAAAAAAAGGCTCGTGACGATTGGTCGAAAGAAATTCTCAAAAAATACGATCGCGGTGCTTCGAAACACGTCTATGACATCGTGACAGGGGATGAATTGTGGATTTACGCGTATGAGCCCAAAGTAAACAATTTATTATTATTATTATTATTATTATTATTATTATTATTATTATTATTATTATTATTCACAGTTTTTACTGACCGGTATGTCAACCACTCACAGGAATGATGATCAGGTGTGCGGTTGCATTGTTGATATTCAGGTGGTTTCTAACAATACGTCATGTATTGAAGATGACTGCCTTTTGTATATATACCTGGCATTCAAGAGAAGACACTATTGTGTTCGACGTGTTATTTTCGGGATCACTCCTGTGGCTAATATTATCATTGGCACAGTTGTTACTTTGCTGAAGTTCCACTGAGCTGCGACTTCATGGGCGAGATGGGTGTACTTCTGGATCTCTTCTTGATGTTTTGCCGATATGTTGTGGTTGTTGGGTTTTGATATATCGATACGAGGAAAACCTGCTGATGGTTTCTATCGATGTTACATCGGTTCTATTGCAGCCGACTTGTCTGTCAGTGATAATTGAGCAATCCCAGTAGAAAGTGTGCTGACTACTTTCAAGCACGTTCTGAGGCACATATAATACGGCACGAAAGTGGCGAGTAAGTCCGTTTTCATTGCCAATAATTGGTGGACGTGCTTCGCCACTTCATCATGCCTCTTTTTGTGTTCCAACTCTGCGTGGCCGCTACATCTACTTGTCACGTGTTGGATAGTTTCGCTTGCGACCACACATCTTTTACATGAGTCGGAGTAGCATCTCTCAGAAAGTGTTTTCTGTAGTTCAAAGTTGGCACCACGTGGTCCTGGGTAGCTATCATGAAGGCTCCTCTCTCATTATTATTATTATTATTATTATTATTATTATTATTATTATTATTATTATTATTATTAGTGGTGGTAGTAGTGTTAATATTACTGTTAGTATTAGTATTGTAACCAAAATGAACCAGCTTCGCGTTTAGCATGCCAATTTGTAATGTAATTAAACCTTTCCAATTTATCAACTGTCTTTAACTCAACTTATTTTATCACTCCCCAAGCTGGGTAACCATTTGTAACGTTTTATGATTTTTTAAATTTAATTTGTCCTACTATGCTCGAAATTTAATGGCTCTACTATTTCATACTTTGACTAGCTCTGTTTTTCGATTAAGATCTTGCATGAGTTCGACCTACGACATACGTCATCGTACCTGTAGCACGTGGATATGTGGCTCTGTACAGAAATCGCGATTATTGGAACATCTGTGGAATTTACTACCTACAGAACAGATGGCAATTCAATGAAATATCAGCCTTTTACTTAATATCAGACTTTTAACCTACATGTTTTCAAACAACCAATACCATTTATTGTAACATTCTAGTAACATATCTCGAGCTCATTATTAATTCACGACTCTATTGACTTTAAACATTATTCAACCGTACTGCTTTAAGAAATATCGTAAGCATATGGAATATCTTCTCGGTTGATATGACACCGCCATCTTCTCGAAAAGAGGATGTCCTGTGTTCTCTTGTGGTGTACTTTATTAGCCTACTGTGCGAGTAAACTTTGAATGTAACCTGACTGTTGCTAATTACACAGTCCTATTTTCGAAAAATCCCTTCATCTGCTCTAACATTACAGTGTCGCGACTTTCCCTCACTAGGCTTCGGGTGAAACCTCCATTCGCGATCCACGAACACGAAGTCTAAATATTTTTGAATACCAAATTCATACACGACAGCAAATATGACTATTCTTAAAACAATGCAAACACTTACCCACTTAAAACTCAAATAAACAATACTGCTTTGCGTACACTATTATGGATTAACCAAACAAACATTTACTCACAACATAAATCTATTATCGTAAAATTACAATTTCATAATGTTCGTACCATGTGAACTTCATTAATGCTTCCGTGAGAGTGAGAATTCGCTTCTTTATGCTAAAGCTAAATTTTCAACGCCCTCCCCTCATCAATTCCATGTTAATGACACGAGGCCGTGCAGTACCTCGACAATACAATTGTCATCTAACATCCAGCATGACGCCTAAAATGTTTATAGTTCGTTGCTATGCTACGATAGTAACTAGGGTTTTAACTAGATGCATCCATTACAGTGTATTTCACTTGTTTGACATTCTGGTATGCCATTATTAGCGTATCTGCCATTTATGACCGCACTACACGTTATCTTCCGAGAGTCCGGAGAGATTATCTTGTGTAATTATCAGAATCAGCTTTTCACGGCTGTATCTCTTGATACGACAAGGTTGTTACGCCTTGGATTATGAATAATGAGGTGATAGGATGATAATAACGGGTGAAGGGATAATCACAAATACGACCATGTCTACGTAGGACTCGCACATGCGGCCTCCTCGACACAGATGGCTGCCGCAACTCTCTGTGCCATGGGGCCGGCTTATTACTATTATTATTATTATTATTATTATTATTATTATTATTATTATTATTATTATTATTGTTGTTGTTGTTGTTGCTGTTGTTGTTATTAATTTATCCATAAGAATGTCTGATTACGAATAAATTTGCACTTTTTGCTTTTAACATATTAGAATGAGGCACTAGCTTTCATATTTCTTTTATGAATCCTTGTATCATAAGTTACGATCTAAATATTTTTAACAATCATATCATTCAGTGTTTGTTGATTCTTGAAAATGGTTCAATTTAATTTTGTGAACGCCATCAATTGAAAATACCGACCAACGAAAACAGTTACATTAATTACTCCTCGACAAACCTAAAGAAACTTTTTCATCGACAAGGTGCGTATAATATTAAACGTGCAATAGCTTCCTAAATCTGAAAGTTCTGAATCTGCATTTCCCCTCGCGTGTAGTCACCGTTTGCGAGTAGCGCTTTAGTGCCAAGGACTACCGTGATCTCTGCAATAAAGATGTATTCTGCGTACAGCTAATTCAAAATCCGTTGCGAAAACTGAGAAACAACGATTACGGCGAATCGATTTATATATTGCATTGTGTCTTCATAACATATTGCTATTTTCTAATATCTTCAGGCAGGAAGTTTGAGGCGTTTAGTTATTTCTCTTTTTGGAAAATAAGTTAAGATATTTTTATACGCGAATTTAAAGTTTAAGTAAATTAAGAAAAAAACGGAGCTAATACGCACACAGAAACAAAGTTTGTAACACACAAAAACACTTTAAACAGATGCAAGTAGAAAGTCTAGCACTTCCCAGCATCATAAACGCTGCCCCACTGAGTTGACAGTGTTTTGTTCCTGGCGCGTCAATTACTGAGTGGTGTAGTCTCGTTAGTGTACTGTGTGTTACATCCCGGAAGGTGTCGGTGTATCCGACCTACATATCGGCTTGTAAGGGTGCTACTCCCAACAGGACACCGTCCAGACGGGGCAAGCTGTGTGTGGGGATAGCATTGATGAGAGAGTCTGCACCGTCCCTAACACTGAGCATTATATCAGATTGAGAACGCAGCAAGAAAGGACTAGACAGAGAAGACAAGTAGATCCCTGAGAGCAGTAAAGAAAGAAGCATGCAGGAAGAGTGTGGGTGGTGAGTGGTCGGAAGTAGACGTGTGAGGAGCAGAGTGCAGTCGTGGGGAGAGGAGAGAGAAGGTAACAGTGGGGGGAGAGAGCTGCGTGGGTGGTGGGCGGGAACGATGAGGTCGGAGTAAAGTTCTGACCTGGAGGCCCTAAGTTTGATTCCCGACGGTGTCAGGATTTTCGACACTAGCTGATCAGCTTGGTCGAATTCAGTCGCTGTTTGGAGGAGAATTCTAGCTGCCGGCTTCTTTGATCGGTATTTTTCGTGGTTTCTCCGATCAGGATCCAGGTGAGTACCAGAGCAGTACTCTAAAAAATGGGCTACGAACCGCGCGTGATCTTTCTTTCCTCTTCTTGATACTATTCTCACCCCTTACATACACACACACTTACATGCACTACACTACCACACATGTAGGGAGACCGGTCTGGAGCTTACAGTTGGGGAGCTTACAGTTCCAGCTGGGGCGGCGCCCGACTGATGGGAGATAATTTGTCGGGGAAAACCCAAATTACCCACGGTAGGTCGGCGCCGGATCTTACCTCCCAGCAGGATAAGGTTACAGACACCTCCCGTGAAAAAAAATGCACTGCACTTACGGAACTAAAAACCTTAGCAGTAAACGCGCCCAAAAGAACTAACAATCAATCCGAGTAAGGAGAGTCGGGGAGGATACCAGCTAGGCGATGGTCCGAACAGGCCTTGTGGAGGTCGTGGCGGGGCGGGACTGGGCGAGATTGGGCGGGGAGGAGCGGGGCACTGCACTTACAGGACTAATGTCCTTAGCAGTCGACGCGCCCAGAAAAACTAACAATCAATCTGAGTAACGAGAGCCGGGGAGGACAGCAGCTCGACGATGGTCCCAGCAGGCCTTG